GGAGGGGGAGGAAGCCGCAAAAGGCATGGGGGAGGGGGAGGAGGAAGGAGGAGCAGGAGGAGGGGGAGGAGGAGGAGGAGGAGGACGAGGAGGAGGAGGACGAGGAAGAGGACGAGGAAGAGGACGAGGAAGAGGACGAGGAGGGAGGCTTCGTCTGTACGACCATGTAGCCGACAGGAATCAGGAATCAGGAGGAGGATGAAGCGGGAGGAGGGGGGAGGCTTGCCAATTGGAGTGCCGAAGTAAAGGAGTGCCCCTCGGGGCTTTTACCGCCGACGCTGCCAACGCTGCCACCAGAAGAGGAGGGTGGAGGGAGGTTGGGGGAGGATGAAGGACGAGCGAGGAGGAGGCAACGTGATAGGGGAGCAGGCAGGGCAGCGATACCAAGAAGACCGAGAAAGAGGAATGGGGATGATGATGACGATGCTGATGACGCTGATGATGCTGATCATGATGCTGCTGATGATGCTGATGATGACAATGATACAAGTACTGACGATGATGGTGGTGATGGTGATGGTGTTGTTGATGGTGATGGTGATGATGATGACGATGACGATGACGATGACGATGCTGATGCTGATGATGATGATGATGCTGATGATGATGATGATGATGAATACGATGATGGTTGTGGTGGTGGTGGTTGTGGTGGTGGTTGTGTTGGTGTTGACTGTGATGGTGCTGTTGATGATGATGCTGCGGAGGATGATGATGACGATGACGATGCTGATGCTGAAGATCAGCTGATGATAGTGATGATCCTGACGATGCTGATGATGATGACGATGATGATGATGATGATGGTGGTGGGAGTGGTGGTGGTTATGATTACGATCATGGCGAGGATGGCTGCGGTTGTGGTGATGGTGATGTTGATGATGCTGATGATTATGATGTTCATGTTGATGATGCTTATGATGCTGATGATGATGATGGTGGTGGTAATGATGATGATGATGATGATGATGATGCTGATGATGATGATGATGATGATGATGATGATGATGATGATGTTGTTGTTTAACGGGGTCGAGGGCGGATGGGGGGAGAAGTGGAGGAGGGAGATCGAAGGGGGTGCAAGTGCAGGAACACAGAGGATGAGGAAGGAGGGATAATGAAGAGGCAGAGGAGGATCAGACGGACCTGGCCTGCTGAATTCAAGGGCTCGGCGGCTGGGCGGATTTGGCCATCAATACAAAAGGTCGATGCAGCATGGAGGGGATACTCGTATATCGTGCCAGCGAATCAGAAGTGGGATGATGGGGGCAGTGAAGAAAGACGTCAATGTATGTCTGTGATGGTGAAAGTGATGGCTATGGCGATGGTGGTGGTGGTGATGATGATGGTGATGGCGATGACGAGGACGATTACAATTGTGACTGTGATGACGATGGTGATTGCGGCGGCGATGGCGACGACGGCGACGACGACGATAATACTGATGAGGACGGTGACGACGGCTGTGATGATGACGGTGGTGTTTCTGCTATTGCTGATGGTGTTGATGTTGATGTCGATGCCGATGGTAATGATACGGATGATGCTGGCGATGATGATATTGATGATGCTGATGATGGTGATGATGATGATGATCATCGTATTACGTATTGATTTTATTGTTATTATTGTTATTATCAGTATGCTGATGTTGATGTTGCTGATGCTAATGGTCGTGAGTGTACTGATGATGGTGACGCTGATGATGATGATGATGATGCTGATGATGATGATCATGATAGTGATGCTGATGATTGGGAAGCAGGCAGAGCAGCGATATCAAGAGGACCGAACAAGGGGAATGGGAATGATGATGATGACGATGCTGATGATGCTGATGCTGATGACAACGGTTGTGATGATGATGGTGATGATAATGACGATGACGATGCCGATGTTTGTTATTGCTTTTTTTCATCAGTCTGATGGTGGTGATGATGATGGTGATAGCCGTGAGTGTACTATTGATGGTGATGTTGCTGATGTTGATGATGATCATGATGATGATGATGATGATGATGATGATGATGATGATCATTATGCTGATGATGGTGATGATGATGATGCTGTTTTGCTCCTGTTGATGGTGATGATACTTCGGCGGGACGAATGGTATGACTATTCGAACATCTCTAATTCACGACTACAGAGGCCCAGGACCCAAGGGCCTATTTCCCGCCAGTGATAGGGGCCCGAAAAAGCTCTTCTTGATAGGATTATGCGGAGGGTGAAGGGGATGATACCCTTTTTACAAGTCCTCGGCCCATGAAGCATCAGATGAACTTTTGTCCGGCCGCTGTAAGAGTGAGGATCATGACGATGAGGAGGACGGGGGGAGGATGATGCTGCTGTTGGTGGTGATGATGATAACGATAATGACGGTGGCGATGATGATGGTAATGATGATGATTGCGCTGATGACGATGAAAGTGATGACTGTTGATAAGGCGTGTGAGTATGGAGAGGATCAGGACACGAATGATGATCATATAATGATCGCGGTGGTGGTGGTGATTGTGATGATGATGATGCTGATGACGATGATGATGGTAATCATAATGATGAGGATGATGATGCTGGTGATGACGGTGATGATGCGGATGATGCTGATGCTGATGCTGATGAGGGGAATGTTGATGATGATGGTGATGATGCTGATGATGGTGATGACGATGATGACGATGATCATGATGATGATGATGCTGATGCTGCTGACGACGATGATGATGATGCTGATAATGCCGCTGCTGATGATGGTGACGATGATGCTGCTGCTGATGATGATGCTGCTGATGATGCTGCTGCTGACGATGACGACGGGGGTGTTAATGATGAGGATGATGATGGTGATGATGATGGTGATGATGATGATGATGATGTTGATGATGCTGCTGCTGCTGATGATGATGATGATGATGATGATGATGATGATGAGGTTGTTGTTGATGATGCGGATCAAGTTGAGGATGACTGTGGTGATGAGGATGAGGAAGATGGGGGAGGGGGAGGAGGAGAAGGAGGACAGGAAGCAAGGGCTTGAGTGAAGGTTGTGCTGCGATGCGTAGGGAGCAGCAGTGGCAGTCCCTCCTGCCTCGTCTCTGCCTCTCCTCGCCCCCTCCCGCTCCCCTGCCTTCCCCAGTCCAGGAAGGCTCTACAGGGACTTGGCGGGAATCGCGTCTGGAGGATGTCGAGACCTCGCCGTGAGGACCTCACCGTGGCCTCAACGTGCCCCAACGTGCGTCGCGAATTCTGGAGGGCTGAAGGGATCGCGTCGGTGGGAAGTCGAGGCCTCACCAGAAGGGGCTCAACGCGGCCCCGACATGGCTCATCGCGTTTGCGCTATTCGGGGATCTCGTCTAGGAGGCTGCTCGGGGATCTCGACTGGGACGTTGTTGACGTTCTCGCCATGAGGGCTTCGACAAAGCCTCGTCATGGGCCACCAACCCTTTAGGGACATCTTGGGTCACATGTGCGGGACGCGGGGGGCCCTCGCCGCGAGAGGCCCCAACGCGGCCTCCACATGACCTCAACTTGGGCCGGAAGCCATTCAGGGCTGCTCGGGATTCACGTATGTGTGGGATGCGGAGGTGTTTGCCCCGAAGACCTGAATGTGGCCTCAGCCTGTTTTGAACAGGTATCGCTAACCCATCATGACTACCAGGGGATCGCGTACGGGGGCGGGGGCTCAGACCTTGCCTCATCATGACCTCAACATGGATCAGAACCCTTGCGGGCGATCTGGGGGCCTCGTTTATGCGATGTCGCTGACCTGAGGGTCTCCAGCCTGGACTCGGCGCGGCTTCAACGCGGGCCAGAAGTCTCCCAGGCAGCGGCAGCATCTGAGTGACAGCTTGAGACTGGACTCGGAAGACGGCTGCATACGCAACGGAAGATGAAGAGGTCGGCGCAAGAGCAGGAGCCATATGGAGCATGTCAGCCGAGTCGGTAGGTTGTGCATGCCCCACAGGGCACAGAGTTGGAAACAACCCACCCAGACAATGTGCAAAACGTCTGGCCGCTTGGATGCGTGCATGTGTGTGTGTGTGTGCGTGTGTGTGTGTGTGTGCGTGTGTGTGTGTGTGTGTGTGTGTGCGAGTGTGTGTGTGTTTGTGTGTTTGTGTGTGTGTGTGTCTGTGTGTCTGTGTGTGTGTGTGTGTGTGTGTGTGTGTGTGTGTCTGTGTCTGTGTCTGTGTCTGTATGTGTGCGCGTGTGTGTGTCTGTGTGTGTACGGGTTGGTCTGTTTGCGCTTCTCTCCACTTGCTCAGCCGCTTCGCGCGGTGTTGCCGTTCCAACAGCTTGCCGCTGTATCTGTCTCATCCTGGCGCCTGCCTTGCCCCAGGTCCTCGTGTGCCTGCCGGCTTTCCCTCTCTCGGCCCGTCTGTGCGGCCCGTTATTGCACCCCGTTGCGCGCAGATCCAAGGAATCCGCGCGGACCTCCGAACGTTTATGTTTATGTTGTTCGTTGTTCGTCTATGGGTGGCGGGGAGCATTGGCAGGACGCGGACGATTCGGACGTCCGAGGTCACCCGCGAGGGGACAGCAGGGGTCGCTGCGCATGAGCTCACGGATGCGTCAGCGTTCGTTCGCGTGCACCGCTGCCTCTTCCGACTGCAGACCTCGCTGGGCTTGCCGAGCCAAGTGCGCAGCGTGGGCCGCGCCCGCGCGGGAGCGCACTTCTTGGGACAAGAGCAGTGCGGCGCTCCCGACGAGAGCAGCATCTTGCACTCTCGCGCTGCCCCCCTGGCCGCTACCCGTGCGGAGGCGCAACCTTCCCATAACCATTTGCGCGGCCTGCGTAGAGACCAAGAGGAGAGGAAGGTGGAGGAGGAGGAGGCGGAGGAGGAGAAGGAGGAGGAGGAGGAAGATGAAGAGGAGGAGGAAGAGGAAGAGGAGGAGGAGGAGGAGGAGGAGGAGGAGGAGGAGGAGGAGGAGGAGGAGGGCAGAACCATGAGGGAGGGGGAAAGGGGGATGGAACGGACGAGGGCGGCCCGCCGCAGCAGGACCTCTGAGGAGAGGGTGGCCCACCGCTCGAAGCTGAAAGCGCACCACCACCACCGGGCAAAGAAGGCGGGGCGCCGCAAGCCGAGCCTGGCGGGGGAGGGTCCAGGGTCCGCGACATCTTCGTGGATCTTGAGCTGTCTCCAAGCATCCGTTTGCTCGGAGCCCAAGTGCAGGCCTGGGTGGAACCACGTTTTCAGTGGTCACTGCCGTGCCAGGACGAGCTACTCACGCCTGAGGTTCTGCAGATGGCCTGGCAAGTGCAGACGAAACAGACCTTTGTCTCGGACCGTCCCTGGAGCATCGTATCGGGGAGCATTGGGGTCATGCTGCTCTCCGTCAAATGGCCTCATGTGGGCCACCTCCTCTGCTTTCTGTTTCCGTACCGACGCCGGGGATGCCTTGGGTTTTCGAACTCCCGTTCCGTCTACGATCACAGAGTTAGCCAAAGCAGCTGCCCTGCGACTGCTTCGGGTGTCTTGGGCTACTCGACCTAATCGTGCTGACGACGTATCCATGGCCCCCAACCAGCCTCTCGAGTACTGGACTGGGTCCATCATTGTTCTCTCCAAATGGTATCAACCGGAGGATTCGGATGAGGAGGGTGGTGACGCAGGTGGTCAGGAGGAGGGAAGAAAAGTTGAGCGGCAGCGACGGGGTGCAGCGTGGACTCCTGCGGTCAATGAGGCGGCTATGCTGGGAGCCTTGCTGGGGTCATGTGGTGACCAACGCGACTTCAGTATTGCCACCACAAGTTGAGTGCCAAGTGTTTTGAGTGTCCGTCGGAGGATTGCAGCTCGCAGCACCTGGCGTCGACATGCCCTGGTAACAATGATACACGGCTGGCGGAGCTGGGCTCATTGGATGATCGTGGGTTGCTGCCAAAGCAAGCTGGCTCGTGGTTCTGGGGCAGAGGACTGTGCCCGAGGGGTTGCTTCCCGTCCTTGCCAAGAAAGGATAACTCGGGAAGGTGGCCTGTCAGATGTGGCTCAGTTGGTTCTATATCAGGAGCGGTGTGCACCGACGGTGCCTGAAAGCGTTTCTGGCACTGGCCCGAGGCAGCCAGCGCAGGCTGGAAGCTTGTTAAACGCGTGGATGGGAGGATCGATGTGATGGCGTACGGAGTTCTTCCTGGATTCTTTCAATTCTCCCGGTCTTCTCCGATATTGAAGGCCTCATTGAAGGGCTCGACTGGGGCCCTCAAGGGTGCTGCCATCCTTCTGGGCCTAATGATGACCAGGTCCATCAGGTAGAAGATCCAGGACCTTGGTGGCCTTTCAAAGGCCCTGCAGTTGATGCGCTTTAGAGGACATCCGAGGGGAGCTGACACGCATGTGAAGGGGGATCGCTGGGCAGATGTCGCTGCGACGGCGCGACCTTCACTCCGTTCTAGTCAGCATGCCAAGTTCATACGAGGATAGCGCTCAGGTCTGTTCGGCAGGTCCTCAAGTGGCAAGTGCAGGCTTATGTGATTTTCGCTGCCCGTGGCAGAGTTGGCACGTTCCAGAGGCGCAGGCGGCAGAGGTCCAAGGCTCCTCGCCACAGCTCGGATCCGCAGCCGATCCTGGCGGCCTGGCGCCACCTGCGTATAGGCGCACGTTCTCTCAGGTTCGTGTGAAGTCTTTCTGGAGGCGTTCCTTCTGCAGCAAGGGGGCCGAGACCCAGCTTCAGGCTCAGCTCTTCTCTCGGATGGCGTGCTTTGCTCGAGCTGTGGCCGCCACGGTTGCTGCCCGTGACAATAGACGAGGGTGGTCCTCTCACCTGTTGTCCTCCGTCCGCTCTTCCCTCCCAGGGGGACGGCGGCACCTCGGGGAGTCCTGTCGAGCCTCAGAGTGGTTTTGCGGATCCGTCCGGGTTCGGGTTTGGTCTCAGGACGGCCGAGCCTTCTTCTCGTGACGCTGCCAGTTCGACTACACGTAAGAGTGACCTTTCGCCAGAGTGACCTTTGGTGCGGGCCCAATTGGGCCCCCCCGATCGCTGAATGTGATGTGATAGCAGCGCCTTGCGCGCCTGGTGGTGTCCCCACAGGGCCCCCCCTGGCCGCGGACTAACGGTCACTCTTGCCTAGGGTCACTCTTGCGTGTAGCCGAGCAGTCGGCATGAAAGAGATCACCTGAAGCGACATCCTGATGTGCTGGTTTCTGAGGCTCTGGAGGCTCTGAGGGATGAGGGGCAGGAGCGTTCGGTCAGACCTCAGTTTCTTTCCGATCACGCAGGTTTCCACGCCTCACGCAGACGAGCTCACTCGTGCCCTAGCCCCTAGCAAGTATCAGGAGCAGGCCCTAGTGGAGGACGATCGGGAGGCCTCCCTTGGCCGCCACCACCGTCCTTGCCGCGCCGCTGCCCGCGTCTGGTATTGTGGAACATCTCAGTGCTCGTGTCCACCGCTGGTGGGTCTCTCCTGGCCAGACCGTTCCTTGCATCATATGTGGTTTCTTCAGCACTGGAGATGCAGGGCATTTGCCTATAGATTGTGAGCTTCCGCCCACTCTCTCAGAACGGGCTGCTCGCAACCGTATGTTGTTTCTTGAGGGCTGCACCCCGCTGGCGAGGCCCGTGTTAGGGGGGTCGTGTTCATCCTACCCCCCGCTCCCTTTGCCTCTGGCCCCGAGGTCGCCTGGCTTCGCTTGATGGTGGTATGGCCCCTATAGCCCAATATGTGCCATTCTTCTCACATGCACTTTCTGCTGGGCTGTCGTGATGGATCCGCTGCCGTGCGCGCGCGGCCCGCGCGTGCCGCGGCTGTTCATGTTCACCCGCCTGCCCGCGCCGCCGCCCAGCCTCTCCCTGTGCTGCCCGAACCCCGCCCACCCCAACGGCCGCCCGCAGACCCGCCAGAGGGATCGCGGGGGGCCCTCGTGGGACCCCTCCCCCCCCCTGCGCTCAGGTGTGCGTCGAAGCGCTTCGCGCGACGTCCCCCTCGCAGCGTCGTCTCCTGATCCTGCGCCTGCTCCCCCCCGTCCCCTTCTCCCTCGCATGATCTTGCCCCTGGCTCCTCCTGCGGCTCCTGCGTCGTCGCTGTTTCTCCGTCCCGTCCGCAGGCACATTCTGGCCCAGGCCATTTTGGCCGCTGCGGCGAGCGCTCGTGGAGAGGGCTTCCCTCGCTCGTGCCCAGGCATCCGACGATGTGATTTCTCCAATCCCAGGCCCCAGAGCTCCCGAGCCGGATCCGTTGTTTGATGGTCTTTTTGCTTTGCTGTCGGGTTTGGTCAGTACGTCGACCCTTCTAGATCCAGGGTGCCCTTGTGTCCTATGTGTTCGCGTCCAGTGTTCTCCTTTTTCCTGGGGAAGTGTGGCCCTTGTAAGGATCTTGTGTCCTCTCGCGTGTCCTCTCCAATCAAACTCGACTGTACCACTGGGGTCCCCGGCGTCGCATTTTTTCCCACTGGGCGTCCCCCCCTCGAGAAATGAGGCAGAAAGATGGGGTTCACAGTCAACATCCATTGTAAGAATGCGCTGCTTCATCAGGGCTACCCCTGCATCCCTGCTTTCTCGGCCCATGCTGAGCCGATGTTGACGTCCAAGGGGCTCCAAATGGCAAATGCGAATGCAAATGCGGCTTCAAGGGTCTTGCATCCTCACCTTGCACCCTTACTACAGATCTTGTCTGTAGGGCTCCAGGCCGTGTTTCCCCACGATGCGGCACTTCTCTCGCGACGCCGGATCTCAGGTGCTGAGCGCGCACACCGTCGTAGCTCTGGGCTCGCAGCCCCGCTCACTCCCCCGGGGCATGCAGGCGGCGCCGGAGCCCTGGGAGGGCGCCGGACCCATCTGGAGCGCGGCAGAGAGGGTGGCGAGGGAGACCCAGAGGCGCCGCGTCGAGCTCCTCCGCGCACAGGGCGCCTCCGCCGCGGGTTCTGGCGGCCGCGGCGAGGCCAGCTGCGCCGGGCAGGAGGAGGCCCTGCGCGCGCGCCCCGCGCCGCAGGAGGCGGCGAGGCGCCCCCATCGGCCACGCGCAAGAGCGACCCTTCGCTGGAGTGGCTCCTTGCGCGGGGCCCGCACGGGGTCCCGCCAGCACCTGGCTGTCGCGCTCACAGGTTGCTGGGGGGTTTGGCCTGCCCAGCGGCCCCCAGAAGCGTGGCCCTTGCCCAGGGTCGCTCAGGGTGCCACTCCTGGGAGGTTCGATTCAGCATCGCCGCTGGTCTGGTAGAGCCATGGTCGCAAGCAGGGAACCTCCAGCAGAATCCCGTGGGCTTAATCTGGGCTGTCTGGCTTTGTGGCCCCTTCATCGGGCTTGCTGTCCTTCTCGTTCTTACAAAGACCTCCGACCTCCCAGGAGTTGCCTCCGAATGTCGCTCTGCTTGCGCGTAGCCGACCTCAGCAGCCTGGCCTTCAGCAGCTGGGCCCCGCCAGGCGGCAGGAGGAGGCTCCGCGCGCGTGCCCTGCTGTCCAGGAGGCGGCGGAGCAGGCCGGCGCCGCGGCGGAGTCGGGCGCCTCTGGGCGTGCCACCTCCGGCTCGCAGGGCAGGCCCGGGTGCTCGCGGAGCACGCCGGGAGCCCCGCCGACAGCGCTGGGTTTCGTCTGCCGGAGCGCGCGCGTCTCTGCGCCACCAGGGCGTCGCCCCGACGGCCCAGGCACGCCACACTCGCCGCCGGCGCCGTGCGGGCTTCCCCAGCACGCCAGGGGCGCGCAGTCGCAGAAGACAGACCGCCTCTTCGTGGCCCCGTCTTCTTGCGCGGCGAAGCCGCACGGCGACCAGGGCTGCCCGCAGTCGGAGAGGGGGGTGGGCACATGTGGCATCAGCGAGGAGCTGGTCTTCGACGAGTCGGAGCTCGTGGGTCCCACGCGCAGCCTGGCGGAGCGTGCGGCAGCCGTCGTTCTGAGGAACCCGCTGTTGGTCGCGGCCGTGCTGGTGGCAGCAGGCCTGGCCGGGGCCGTGGCCAGCGCCCGCAGCGCCTTCTGCGATCCGGCGGGGTCCCTCGCGACGGCGAGGCACGCCATGGCAGCCGCGATTCCGCGAGTCGTGGTGCAGGGGGAAATCCAATGGGGTGGCAACCCGGACATGTGTGTG